TAGATCTGAATCCCTGAAATAATAAATGATGAGAACTAATAGAGATGCTTCAACAAAAGTGAAATACATATCTTACCACGTAAGGATTTATACTAATTGTTTACATAACATTAATGAAAACAATTCGTCACGTAAACAAACGCAACTAAATTGCATAAACAGTACAATCATGTACATTAATAATGTGTATTAGCCAGCTAAAGTAAAACATAATCATCTTAGAATATCATCATCATAATATGCTTATATATAAATATCTAATCTTACCAACCAAAACGTTTTCCAACTATACATTGCCATGTTCCACCATAACGTTTATCAAATTCTTGTTTAATATATTTAGCTATATCTCTATCATCTTTAAAACGTTCACATGCTGCTGCACAACAATCAACCGCTATAGATTGCATTGATTCTGGCATATCAGTTGATTTAATTTTTGCACTTTCTTGATGAACACTCATAATTTAATTCCAATTAAATAATTCAATTTTAAATGAATACTTTACACAAATTATTTATAATTTAAAAATAATTTAAGCGGGGCACGTGGATATGTTGATAAATGGATAGATAAATAGATAGATATAAGTAAATAGATAGACAGGTAGATACAACTATCTAATTAGTTATGTATGTGTATAAGTTTAACTTTTTTTCGCTAATAAGAGTAATGCATTAAAACTAATAGTTCATTATTCAATATATATAATTGAGTAACTTATTAAGTTTATCATTACATCGAATGTCTATTCCTTTAGAACAATTTTAACCAATAAGATTTGAGTTATATCTTTTAATAATGATTTTAATTATTAGTAAATAATTTTGTAGAGTAGTTAGTAACAAAATTTTATTGAATACTGTGATAATTATAAGTAATGAATGACCCAACAATAACTAATAGTATTAAAATTGGTTGATTAGACAGACACATTAATTCAAATGAATAAATCATTAATTATAGAGATAATAATTTTCAATCGTATGGTAGAAGGCGAAATTGATTTTCTGAATTTCGACGACTTAATTATACTGTAAGTAATAAATAAAAATAAGTGAAAATTAATCACCTTCAAACTGATTATATATATATATATATATATATATATATATATATATATATATATATATATATATATATGTGAAATTGAGCAACCATTGACCAATGTCTTCAGTGAGTTGATATCTCCAAACAGACCTGGTTGAACTCGACTGGTTACTGCTTCTCACTAGAACTCCAGGAAATACTTCATGGAGCCAGTCAATTGACTCATGATTTCAACTGTATAAAATTAATAAAACCTCCACAAAAACCCCTTCTGATAATGATTATATATGTACCTAAATAGCATTTAGAAATTCAGAATCAGTGAGGAGGTTTTGTGGAGATTTTTAGATTTTCACAGTTTATACTGTTGATCTTAGTTAGATCATCATTGACAACTAAAACGAATTATTTTGGTCTATTACATAAAATATCAGGCCATCAGCATAAATCTCATTGGCTTTGATTATATGTAGTCAATATACACGCAAATACTCTACGTCCAACTTTTCACGAATTGATTTCCGACTAAAAGATTCAATTGTCGATGTTTAATGGACAGGTGACATAGTCTTGTTTGGTAAAGACGTTGACGAAGTGTAGTTTCATGACAACAGCCTAAACATGTTTATGATGCGACTCTACGTCTAAATGCGAATTGTTCTTTCAGGACTAGTCGATATTAACGCTAGAAATAATAATAATAACTAAATTAGTGAAGCATATTGACCAATTCATTTATTTCTGAAGTCTCACCAGCTCTGGTGGGATGATGTTTGACGAAATTCACGTATAGATTCAGAAAACTCAGTTGGATTTAGCTAACTTGAGTCACCTATGGAAAGGATGAGATGTCCGCCTGAAGGCAAAGGAGGGATTAATTGCATAACAGTCTGCTATGCAATACTTCAATGTTGTGAACCATGGTTTTTGAAAATAAAGGATATTTGTAGGTTACTAGTATCCTGTTGCATATGTTTTTGAAGTACTGCTAGCGTACGCCGAGGCAATCGATCGGTCAATTTTGGGGTTAGAAACAGGGCACTACGCAAAGATAGCGAATCGGGTGATGAGGTCATGCATCTTCGTCAACTGAGGTGGTTGAGACATGTATTACGTGTGTTCAACCACCACCTACCTTGATGAGTAATGTTATCTGGTGTAGTTGGTTGGAAGAAATCTAGAGCAGTCAAAACAATACTTTGCATTAGCCTATGGAGTTCTTAACTGTTGGGCTGGGCTGTGTGTTTAGGTGCAAACTATTTGGTCGGCTTCCACAAAATTATTGTATCGAATTTTCGGAGATGATGATTTGTATGACTCGAAATCAATCCCAATGGCGCAAGCGTACCTACTCTTTGTCTTCCCTTCGGTCTCAAGTTTTAAAATTCTTATATTTTGTCTGCAAATTCACTTTCTATTCCCAAAGTATATTACCAATACTTAGGCTGTGCTTCTAACACGGATACTATTACTACTTTCACCAATGCGGGACTTATTTTGATAATTTCATCTCGCTGTGCTAATGTGCTGTAGCAACTTGAGCCAATGCACATATCTCTCAGGTTCTAAGATGAGTATAACTGACTCAATGATGCAAACTATGTCAGAAACTGAAATAAATTGGATAAATCATTCGAAAAACTTTATTCAAATCAGGTTTTTCTTATGTTTAATAAATAAGCAAGCATAAAACTTCAAACTGTCTTTTCTCATTCTTTCTTTAAACTATGAAAGACAGTTTTTAGAAATTTATTAACTTCATGTAGCTAGTTGCATAGTATCTAATGAATAGGACATTTAGACAACTTTTAAAGACACAAATTGCAAACAGTAAGTCGATTAACGTTTACAAGAATTTTCTTTAGAAGAAATATGAAGCTGATTAAACGTGAACAGACATATACGAGATTACAACAAAAAGGTATACCAAGATAAAATCTCGGTTTTCGATGAAAAGATAATAAAATTAGTATAAAAATAAGGACAGTAATCCTATTACAGATACGAACAAGACAAAACTAGGGTTAAACAATGGATTTACCTACCTTATTGTGGTCCATCCCAGAAATATCAACTAGTACCTTTAATTACAGATTAGTAGACACTATAAATCCCACATATCCTGATAAACAAATTACTGTATTTATGTAATGCTTTAGTTAAGCTACCATCTTTTCCTAACGTCAGTTTAATCTGAACACAATCACATGTTTAATCAGAAAAGATTTTCACGACAGATGTATATATTTGTCAAATCGATCATTTTACTAGTGCTTAGTACTAGTAGTACTTAGTGTCATATGATTATAATCTTATTCGCATTTAATGACATGAAATAAGAAGAATCTATAATCTAACTTAACATATATTTCAATGAAAATTGGTTAAGAGTATATCAATCATCACGTTTACATGTTAAGTTATTTTCACACAGATTTTGTGTATTAGCCAAAAGAACATTTATTAGAATTCTATCAACCATAGAGTCGATTAATTAAAATTGAAGAATTTTGGAATACTTTTAAACCTTTACTTCTTCAGTACATATTTAATCATTAACATTATATGTAACCAAAATTGCAAAATTTTACCTTAAGCTATTGTCAATAACGTTGATCGCAAATCTATAACTAAACTAACTCAGTGAATCAGTCATACGCAGCGTGAAACCTGACACATATGTATATCGGTTCAGATTATCACAGCGAGTTTAAACTATCAGAACAAATCCCAGAGTAGTGTAGGTTGCAACAGCTTTAGTGACGATAGAAAAGATTAGGCATAGCCGATAGAATTTGAGGAAATACGGATTAGTCGGACGAAGAAAATTTACAAGATAATTTAGAACCTCTCGATCTAAGGGAAGACAAATTGTAAGTGCACCTCCACCACTGTGAACGTCTTTGAGCCGTGTCACCCAAAGTCTAACCGCTGGTTGCGATAATTACGCGGACATCGACCAAATAGTCCGCATCTATCTGTATGGCTCCGTTCAATAGTTGGTGTCTAAACGGATTGATGTCAAATCTTTGTTTAGCCACCTCTAGCTTTCATCCAACCTACTAAACTATATAATTCGTGAATAACACAATTTTATACTTTGATTTGGGTTGAGATAAGAGATATTAATTCGTTTCCTTAATTTCAAACAAAGATTTCAAACTTTTCCGAAAAGGACACAGCTTCTATAAAAACTCATCTTCCCACTAACAATAGCCACATTTCGAATCTTTTAGGTAAAACTGAAATAATTTAATGGTGATTCATATGTATAAATTGAAAACTAATGCTCACTAAATCGTTTCGACCAATTAAGCAGTTTATACTGACCAACACCTAGCTATATATGATTAGCTTTAGAGATATTTTTCTTTACAGACTGACTTTAGTTGACGAACTGTTAAAAACCAGGGTACAACTGATGGACATCCTGTCATAATAGCTACTGCTAACTACTCAAATAGTCAAAAAACGATTTTGATAGAATATATGTTGTAGACTAATTAACTTTCCATAATTATCAGTGACGTTTACTTCATCTACTCAGTATATTATTTTGTGTATGTTGGAAATTCACATAATAGAGGGGATCAAGAAATCGTCGTTTTATGACAGTTATTGAAACATAGTTCAGAACTAATGTTTTCGGTGTTTAGAAACAAGAGAGCAGATACATAAGACAAATATATCTGTATACATTTAAATCACTTTCGTACAAAGAAGAGGAAAAAAATTGTCGTAAATTAGTAACTCTGACACTGGATGAGCAAAGGAACAATTATTTGAAATTTGAGAACAAACGGAATAATAGCTATGGTTTATTATACAAGTTGGTAGTCGATCAATAATAATATCCAGTATTAAAGAAATGGGAAAAAACTGTGAAACCACTAAAAATATCTGTTGAAACACATCGAATACTACAAAATCGCACAAATATAACGATTTGTTAAACAACAAAACCTGGTTCATGATCTGCCTCGGATAATAACAATTCCACATGTGGGATTTCACCGGCATTATGTACAGTTGATAAAAGATGACGAAAGTCTGGGATAAATCTTTCCTTGAAAAATCCTCTTTCTGTAACAGAATGCCCAGCTAAAATAATAGAAATACCGCGAGAAACAGCCTCAAGACGGTCGTGATGAGATAATTCTCCAGTGATAAATAAATCGGCAGCAAATGAGGCTGGTGTTTGGCATAAAAGCGACCCACCGGAACCAGCGCAAACAGCAACTGTTTTAATTGGACAGTCTATTGAATAATAAAGAAAAAAGCTATGGTAAATAAGTGTTGTGATTGACAGTTAACAAAATACCAGGAGGCTAAAGTAAGATTTCTAGGACGTTAACATGAAATAATAAAAATAAATTCTTGTGAAAGTGATCGAAATAACTTAAGTATTCAATCCGTAATTTCAAAAAACCTGATAACAACAAGTTATATACATTAACAGATGCTAGCCTTGAAAATAAAATGAAAAAAATAAAGGTCATTTTGGACTGATGACCTTTAGTTGAAAATAACATTCAATCGCTGAACTTAAACTTTGCTTACAACCTTTCTAAAATTATTTCCCGTCTCAAACTTGGATGAGAGAGGAGGGTTAACAATGAGGTCCACGACTGAGTCTCTTTGGAGAGAATCTTGCATAAAAAATGCTAACCGGCTGAACCCAAATAAGATACTACCACCTATCCTGATGTCTATTTATTATTTATTTAAACACATATATATTGGTACAAAAGGGCACCAGGTACATATGCGCCACACAAAATAATGAAAGTAGGAAGAGAAGGGATGAAAAGATAAGGCGGGCTGAAATGTACAACCAGAAGACTCTTTCAGTTAGGAGAGTTAGAACCATTCTTTATGTAGAAAGTAAAAGAAGGTTGCAGCAGGATCGCCACTGGCTTCTATTCTGAGCCATATCTGATAACGTCATCCTGATGTCTAATGGTAGCTGATATTAAGTGTTACTTCATACTTTACATTCTTTCATTTTATTTATTGCTTCTGTGCTATATTTCGCATGCCTAAATATTAGTTGAAGCTGGTATTCATTTCTATCATTTGGCTCGTATATTTCTACTTTACTTGCTCTCTGTGCTAATATGACGTGCAGTAGCTTGGACTAATAAGCATTCGTACTAGGTCCAACATCAAAGATGATTGGATGACAGACTTTCAAGCATGAATACCAGAAATGATAGAATATATGCGCTTGTACATCTTTCACAACGCACTGACCGCCAAAATCTATATTTGCACTCTTAGAGTCGCATGGACACAAACAATGATCTATCACTTAAATAAATGACAATCAATGAGTATATTTATTATAATTAAAAGTAAATTCACGAAGAATAGTCTACTAGACCTAGGACTAAGAAATACTGACCTGATGGATTTAAAATACGTAAACTCCATTAAAAACGTCAGCAAAGATGTGGAGTAGACACAGAATTTTGAGGTCCTATGAATGTTTTAGAGCATGAATTGCACACACAAAGTTGAAAACTGGCACACAACCGATCTTCTGATGTTGGCTAACTAGTCAAAGTTATATTACATGCTTTCTACACAATTATTCTTTACATCAGCCTATTCATTATACACTATACACTACAAACAGTACTCACTATCTACAAGCGCCTCATATTTTATGCGGTCCGATAAATTCATGTGTATGAAATGTATCATTACTTAACATGACTTATAATTTCGCGTTGTCTGTGTTAAGTTCAATAATACGTACGAAATTAATCTTAGATAATATTAACTTGGGATTGAATCAACACTAAAGTTATATAGCTATCAGACGACAGTTGGTCAAACCACATGACATGAATAAATAATATGTTATGTCCTACCTAAGACAATAAGAAATGATCGATGTTAGCGGGACATAGATTGAATTAAAGCATGTTTCATGCATGATGGTGTTGCTGCGCGCTGATTGGCTAATTCTAAACCAATCAACCCTGGCAAATTATTGGAGAAAAATCTAGAAGCTTCTGATGTATATACTATAACATATGAACGTTATTCAAACCAGTGATTGCTGTTCACTTACGATTATTATTTTGAATACAATTTCTTTCCTGTTCAACGTGTTCTGATTTTGGGGTCTTGTTGAGTGTCACTGGATAAGAATACTAAGCGATAGGAATAGCTGGGTCGTTTATTAGCAAATACAATTATAACAGTCGATGAAGCCTGGAGACATGGAAAAGTCGGCTTTAGACCAGTGGTACCCTTTCAGTACTATTGAGAATAATATGCAAACTGAACTAATCACTTAGGAAATATGTGTATGGTTCTATTTGGGCCAGGTAAATTATATTTCAAAGATTATAAACATGAATCGACTGAGTTAGTACGACCATAATTCACAAGTCTAGCTATTATTTGTTTATGCTTCAATATTTCCATTGTGTACTCCGAAAGATGAGGGCACCTTCCAAATAGAGAACTACAGTAGGGAAAACCATTCGTTTATCAACATTTTGACCTAATAATCAGATTTTTACGAACAGAGAAGATTGGCATTGAGGTTTTTTTAGACAGCAGATAGGAGAGGTGGTCCGTTTATGATATGGAGCCGTGGTCTGGAGGTTAGTTGTAAATTACTAGCATCTGATAAACCATCACAAACCCCTGGTTGAGTTATTGAAGATAATGCAACTCTGTAGCTTGAAAAATTATCGGAATGGCTCAGAATAAAAATAAGTAGTGATCCAGTAGCAGTCTAAACTTTTTTATCTCTCATTGTATTAGAATTTGCGTCCTATGGATAAATGGGTACTTCAAGTAATCAGAAGGTAGGTTTGATTATTCATTCACAAATCGATTACAAATACGACTCGATGAGTAACAATTAGGATTTTTACTTGCTCTTTATAAACAAAACCATGGAATGTGACTAAGAAAAATCCAAACAATACCAATGCACAAGCAGGAAAAAGTATTAAAAAATCTTTTGAAACTATAAATTAAATAAGAGTGAAGAGGAGAAAAAGCTGAGACAGAACATGAGTATTGAACAGATTAGTTGTAATAACATCAGTTACCTACTTACAACCTATAAAAAAGATGTCCAATATCTTGATGAACATATTTCACATACCACAAGAAAAACTTAGGATATTCGAACTGATAAAGGCTACTTTTGTTTCAAGAACAAACAAAACGTAGGATGAAGGGCCATCAGGAACTAAGACCTGACAAATATCCGCTTAACAAACGTCTTACACTACTTACTAATAATGAGTAACGTGAACAGGTGCATTGAAAATATATTGGTACCAAAGACTGGGAAACACTGAAATATGATTTCGTGGAAGTATAAGTCTTAGTAGAACCGATCCCCAAATATCTTGTCATTACCACCTGTTATAACATGACTAAATAATTATATAAACATGCCTTTCTAAGTATCATCTAAATGTACTATCGTCATAGTCCATTCTATCTACATAACGTAGAGTATTTAAACCCCCGGCTAACTCAATATAACTTACAAAAATAAAAGTAATATAAATGGAACACAATAAAATTTATTTAGGAGTATTCCACGAACTCCCATGGAGGAACTTATAAAATGTATCGAAACTAGATATGTTCAGAGATTAAATATTATGATAAAGAGAAAGTAGTTTTATTTACACATAGGTGAATAGTATGTTTTTTTTCTACGGTAGAATTTCAATAGTAACAGTAGGCTTTCATGTTTGTGTTGCGAAATTGATAAAATTGTGCCCGAACAAAGGATATCGACGTGTGATAATAGCCAGTTTCATTCGGTAATAACAAAAGTACTAGATCATACTAAGAAGATGGAAATTAATTCTCAAAACCAAAGAAGGTAGAATTGACTTCAGGATAATTTAATGAGCACAAGTGATATACTATTGGTCTTTAATATAATGCGTCAGCTAAACGGGTTACAGGATAGACATCGAGACAAATATCAAGAAAACATCATGCGTACACTTATGTTTGTTGATGCTCTAGTCGAAAGCAAATCTGATTCTCATATGCATCTGTCAATAAACTATCTTAAAATTTTTCATGCAGCTGTAATTGTTATAGATGATATCAAAACGTTGTATTCATCTTATATTACTATTGTTACTCTTACATCTTCCAGTAGTTGATTCTTCGATACAGCATTACATCATGCGTTGTTATATCAAATCCTACTAAGTAGGTAGCGACACAAGTTAGTAAGTGTCAACAAACTGAACTCTGAGCTTAAATCATATTGTGGACCTTTCAAACAGAGACAATTAAGCTGACTGGGTAGTGGGGTCAATAATAAATTACTTCATCCCATGAGGTGTGTTGAAGCAAAAACAACTATTAAGACACTCCATATAAATCCAACAATAAGCACTGCGATATGGCCCCTCAATCAATGGAATTAAAGACAATCAGCGTATCTAAATTTGACTTTTATGGCACTTCCAAGTATAGATTTATTACAACCCAAAAAAGAGTAAAAAAGCAGTAGCCTACTTTCTATCAAACCTGAAAACTTTAATTTTCTCGATTCCGGTTTCTTCATCGCAAGTCAGTTGTTGGATAACTAAAAGTGCCCTCGACAATTACTTTATACAAACGTTTACAAAAATGTAGTTAAGAGAAATTTAGATCAAACACTTATCTTACCGAGGGTTTTACCTAGTCCTGGGGCTACAGTTAAATGTCCCATGTTCAGAAATTTTTTGTAGGCAGCGATAACTGCTTTTAGATGAACTGGGAACTGTAGAGTGACCAGTCTTCCACATCCTTCTTCACTTGTCTACAACATATTGTTTTTATAGTGCACATACCTTCTGAATAGTGTCGATACTAACAACTGAAATTTTAAAATCCTCAGTCACATCTACGACACGTTTTAAATCGGACTCGGTACAAGTAACAATAGCTGTTATTCCAGCATTACTGATTATGATAATGTGATGACAAAATGCCTTACCTCTTAATATTAGTTGCACACACTCCTACTCCTGTGGATATGACAAAGTCTCCGAAATTTTCATTCATAACAACAGTCAACCTGGATAAAGTTTGAGTGATTGGTGATCGCGATAAACTTTCTCTTCGATTGACAGCTATAGAACAATATTAAGTTAGTTTGAATTTACCTAATGGTTCTAAAAGCCAATCGTTGATACCTCCAAGTTTTGCATCAAGCCCGGTGTGTGGTGAAAATACTCCAATTTTGTTTTCTATACAACGTATAACTATACGCTCTTTCCAATGCTGTTGCGTAAGCTTTTTAAGAGGAGAAAAAATTGGTGGGTGGTATGAAACGATCAGACCACATTTTTGAGAAATCGCCTCATTGAGTACTTGTTCTGTCAAATCATTTGTGATAAAAATCCTGTCCACATGGTGTGGAAGAGAAGGTTCTATTAGGAGACCGACATTATCCCACTTTTCTGCCAAGTGTGGTAAGCAATAAGCATCCAACAACTGGACAATTTTGGTAAGCTCCATCCCTTTTCGGGCCAACTTTGAAAGGAACATGTATTAATGAAATCGAGAACACGATGACAAACTAGCAATGAAAATGAGCAAATTACCTTACAATAAAAATCGCAAAAGTCAAGATGGGGCATACAAAACTGGGAAATGAAGATAATAGCAAGATCATTTTGCGAAAAGATTGGAAGTATATTTGTTTCAATATTGACAAATAAACAGAAGGTAAACATATTTTAATGCTTTTATTTATGAAGATGTAGGTTTTCAGAAGCTTGGAAAATTAAATGTTTAAAACTCACACCAAGATGCAGAATTACACTGCCTATACAATCTATTCAGTCGTTTATAATAAGTAAAAAATACAGATAGACCTTTAAAACAATATAACTTTTACATAATACCGAGGCTAAGCTTGAGGATACTTTGAAAGGCGTGAAAAGCGTTAACTCTTCTCACGTTATAGATTAACTGGAAAATCAAGTGTTTTTCGCACAAATCTACAGTTACAAATCTATCCAAATGAAATAAAGTACACAGGACGATCCAGCTTTTCTCGAAAAAATGTAGCACTGCTTTTATCACATAAATGTGGCTAACATACATGTAAATATTAGATGAGTAAACGAAAAATACACGAGATCATGAAACAGAATATGGCTCAAAGAAGATTGCTTTTGAACGATTACCAGGTAGAATGACACACAACGTTCTACATCGATACTTAATGAGCTCTCTCACACTGACAAGCCTCGCTGTCACCTCAAACTGCCTGAGGTAGTTCTCAAAGTCATTATCCTCAAACTGCTCCGGCACTTTCACCTTGATCTTGACAGGAACACAGATGTAAAGAAGGCAATACGCAGAAGGAATGAATATTTACTGTGAGAAGTTACTAACTATTTACAGAATATACATACGTAGCACTAAGTCGTCCGTTCGCATCTATCAGTGTGCTGGTTTTAGGCAAACCATATAACATTTAACATTTATTTGACACTTCTAAGTTGGAATTACCTTTTTTAGATATTTATAAATGTTACTAGGCTAACAACAACCTTTTATGGAAAGTCTATATTATCTCCGTCATGTTCTCAATAGTGGTTCTCAGATTTAAATATTTTTGAGAAATTTTTAAATATTTATATTCCACATCAACTTACACATTAACGTAGCTTACACATAGGTATTATTATATTATAACTATACCAATCGTATTTAACAACCATCTGAACTGCACATTACATTTCTCATCAAAACCGTCACGGTCCTTACGGCTAATGAAGCTAAACTCAACGACGTTAGCTACTTGAAACTGCTCAGGCGCGCTTTACGAACGGGAAGTTTAGCCTCAACGTGATTCTTTTTTTTGAAATTTTGCTGTTTCCTTAAGCGACAGAAGTACCATTTTTGGTCAAAAGAATCTTTCCTGAGCCTAACGTTCAGTTGATTACTTTTCTTTCTAACTTTATTCCGAGTGAATAGTTAACTGTGGATTAGCCAAAGCTTATTATTCGCCTTTTACAGATTTTCACACCAAAGTGTAATTACATCCTAAAATTTCACAAGACTGGCTCTGATCTGTGATAGATGAATTTTTCATGGTCGTGAACCTTAAATAGGTTTGATCTAAAAACATATATTTCATCATGTAAGCGATATGGACTCCGCTGTATCATGAAAAAAATCCTAAAACAACTAGCTCTCTGCGTTTCCGACATTTGATACTGACCTCATCTGTTTTGCTGGACTAACCTAACTGAAGGCGCTTGGTAACACATTCGCACCAGATCACGAGTGGGTACACTGTGCTACGCATCCCTTGCAACTGTTTACTAGAATAGATCAAACTCTTCTCGACATATCGAGAGCCTTTCAAATACACGTTAGAATTCCTTCACTTCTCACTTCTGATTCGAATGGGTTGAAATACTTCGAACATAAATGTGTTACGTGTACAGGCGTTGTCAAACTCCGAGTACTTGTGACATCTTAAGTGGTGAGATCAAAGTGATCTGGTACACCTATTCGTAAACTGTGAGTCTGTTTCTTGTTTCAGTTTCAGTTTGGAAAGGACAGGAGGCTTGATGGCCTGTGTCAGTCCTGGCAATGATGGTCTCTCAGCTGATCCAGCTTTCTTTTGAGAGAGTCAAGGGATGGATGTAATGAATTCCATTCGTTAATAATTCAGTCTTCAGTAATAAGGATAGTAGGTTGATGAACCTGTGTTAATCCTGACAGATTTCCTTCCATTGAAGGTCCAGCTTCTTTTTGAAAATGTTCACTGATGGTGCTGATACCACTTGTTCTGGTAAAGCGTTCCAGTCATTGACCACTCGATGAGAAAAACGGGACCCCACCTTTAGTTTATAAGATCGCGGTTTCAGAACCTTCTTGCTATGACCCCGGAGATTATTAGTGCTGGAGGGAGCAAAAAGGTAAGACATATTAACACCCAGATCATAATTAAAGATACGAAATGCCAGTATAAGGTCACCTCGCGTCCTACGATAAGATAAGGGGAAAAGATTTAGACGTTTTAAACGCTCATCGTAAGGGAGTTTGGAAAGACCCTTTACTAATTTTGTCCCTACACGCTGGACACGCTCAAGCGATTTTGTATCCTTTATCAGACAAGGGCTAGCTGCTTGGATACAGTATTCTTAGTGTGGCCTTACATAGGTGGGATATAAAATTCGAAACATATCCTCGTCAAAGCATTTAAATGCTCTGCAAAGCGACCATAGCGCGCGATAGCCTTTGGAAGCAACCGCACTGCAGTGCGTTGTAGTTTTTAAGTCGTGACTTATAATTACTCCTAAGTCTTTATGCGTATGAACGCGTGGCAGAGATGTACCATTAATGGTATAGTGGTAACTAATATCGTGCCCGATGTGCATGAACACGCTCTTCCTGGAATTAACTTCCAGGCCCCAATCATGAGCCCACCTAACTAATTCGTCTAAATCTGCTTGTAGATAACAACGATCAATCTCATTTCTTATTGTTCTCCAGATTTTAACATCATCCGCAAACAATAACGTCGACGACTTAAGTAATAAAGGTAGTTCATTAATATACAGAAGGAAAAGTAAAGGGCCCAAGATGGTGCCTTGGGGTACACCACTTTTGACCGGTTTCTATTCGGATAGAGTTCCATTGACTCTCACTCTCTGTCTGCGGTCACATAAGAAGCTTCCTATCCATTCCTGTATAGCACCTGTTATACCAAAGCTCGAGAGCTTTTGCATAAGACCTAAGTGTGAAACCTTATCAAACGCTTTGCTAAAATCTATAAATATCACGTCGACAGACTGGCCGTTGTCTAGTGCAGCTGTCCAATCCTCTCTCGCAATGAGTAAGTTAGTCAAGCATGAATGCTTGTTACGAAACCCATGTTGCTCGGGAGTTAACAGATTGTACGAATCTATGTGGCTCAGTAGCTTAGCCCGAATTAATTTTTCAAGTAACTTAACTACTATACTGATCAGGCTAACAGGCCGGTAGTTAGATACTATCCGTCTCTGACCATCCTTAAATATAGGACTAACTATGGCGTCTTTCCAGTCTCTAGGTAGTTGAGCCTGTGAAAGGGACATGTTGAAGAGCATCGTGAGCGGTCTTGAGATAATGTCCGCAAGCGACGACAGCAAACGTGGGTGTAACCCATCGGGGCCCGGTATCTTACAAGGTTTTAGGTTAGTTATCAAAGGAAGAACTATATCCTCTGTCACGTGTAAGGGTCCTATGGCTGGTATCTGATTGTCAACGGGACATGTAGTTGTAACACTACACGTAGAGTAGACTTCACTGAAATAGTTAGCAAATAACTCCGCTTTCGCCAGATCAGATTCAGCCAATAAAGCTGAATTTTCGCTTAACAGTAATGAGGGGATGGGAAAGTCGGTAGTCAGCTGACAAGTAATTCGTTCTGGGCTTGTGAACAGTTTTTTGGAGTGTCCTCGTAGATTTTCTGTTTTGGAAGACAAGAAAAATGAGGGTATATCAGGTGCGAATTTATCACTAAGCAATTTGAAAACTGCAATCAAGTCGCCTCTGATTCTTCGATGTGACAGCGGGAATAGGTTTAGCTTGGTCAGTGTAGTATTGTACGCGCGCTTTGCTATTCCGGGAATCAGCCTAGTTGCTGTTCTCTGAACCCTTTCCAAGAGTTCACTGTCTTTTTTTAGGCAGGGGTTAGCTGCTTGTATACAGTACTCAAGTTTAGGGCGTACGAACACTGTATACAAAGTCAGAAACGTTTTAGCGTCAAGATGCCTAAAAGCCCTGCGTATGGACCATAAAGTCCTAAAACCTTTGGCGGCTATTGCACGGCAGTGTGCAATAGTCTTTAAGTCTTGACTAACGATGACTCCCAAGTCATTGTGTGTCTGGACAATAGGTTACTCAGTGTTATTCATCGTGTATGTATCTGTACCCTGGTGGCCAATATGCATCACAATACACTTGGAGGTATTTATCGGCAATTGCCAGGTTCGGGGCCATTCAGATAATCTCTCCAGGTCATTTTGGAGTTCTAAGCTATCACCCTTACTTTGTATCGCTCTCCACATCTTGACATTGTCAGCATAGAGCAAGACGAATGATGTCATTTACGTACACGAGGAATAACACTGGCCCCAAAACTGTACCCTTGGGGACTCCACTAAGCACAGTTTCCCAGCTAGACAACTTGGAGTTCACCCGTACTCTTTGTTGACGCCCAACTAGGAAGTCTTTTATCCACATCAATAGATTGCCTCCAATCCCGACATTCCTTAGCTTATATAACGGCCGGTTATGCGGAACTTTGTCAAAAGCCTTGCTGAAATCGATGTAAGCTACGTCTATAGGTAATTTTTGATCCTTAAGAGCGCATCAGCTTTCACGAGCGACTAATAAGTTTGTGAGACAAGAGTAACCTGTTCTAAAACCATGCTGCTTCTGCGAGAGGATCCGGTTTTCATCGAGATACTTTAACAGCTCCTTCCGAATAATCTTTTCTAAGATTTTAACAACCACACTAGTTAAGCTAATGGGTCGGT